AAAAAAAAAAAAAAAAAAACAGGAACACCCTATAAATCCTCACCCCATGGCTCTTCAATGATCATCCTCATGCTGTTTTCCCTTCTCTCTCCTTCAGATTCTGGACATTAACGTGAAGGCCACAGTCCTAATGACAAAGGCAGTGCTGCCAGAAATGGAGAAACGAGGGTACAGCAACTGAGACGGGGTGAGATGGGGTACGTGGGCTGAGGGAGTGGTCTCCACCTGAGAAGATCAGCTCTCTTCTTTTTCCAGAGGTGGCTCAGTGGTGATTGTGGCCTCCATAGCAGCCTTCAATCCATTTCCTGTAAGAACCCTTTTGTCTGCCACTTCTTCTATCTTCGATCTCACATCTTTCCATCCCTCCGGTTGCCCAAAGAACCTTGTGTCCCCTTTTAGAATCACACCACCAATTCCCTTCCCACAATAGAAGCCTTGCTCCTTGACCCCTAACTGAAGGGATGTCTAGCCATGACTCTATGGGAAATACCCTATTGACCTTTATGGCTAATAATAAGAACCAAGAATGACCTGGAAACTATGCATCTGACCCATTCTCTTTTTTCTCCAGGGCCTGGGCCCTTACAATGTTAGTAAAACAGCTTTGCTGGGCCTTACCAAGAACCTGGCCATAGAGCTGGCCCCGAGGAACATTCGGGTGAACTGCCTGGCACCTGGACTTATCAAGACTAGCTTCAGCAGTGTGGTGAGGAAGAAGAGCCCTGATCCCACTGGAATCCCTTGCAGGATATCCATCTTCTTGGATGGGGAAGCCATTGTCTGAGTCCTCATCTACTCCCTATCCCCTCCTTCCTGGACTTTTCCATATTCCCTATCTGTACCAGCCACCCTAACCAGAACAGACTTGTACACTCCTTCCTGAGGTAGAGGGAGGAAACTAAGGAATTCAGACTCTACTCCTACTGTTTCCTCTCTCCTTAAGTGGGTGACAATTAGAGAAACACAGTGAAATGCATCATTAGAATCTGAGGTGAAGGAAACAGAAAAGGGCAGTGGGGAGAGCTGAGCGCCAGGAAAATGTAGAAGTGAAATGAATGAGTCTCTCCATTCTTCCTCTGAACGGATGTGAGGACAGGCAGTTTCTTTCTTCCCTCTCTGTCCCTCTGTTTCCTCTTCTTGCATATAAAGAGATTTCCCTTATTCCTGCAGTTCTGGATGGACAAGGCAAGAGAGGAAACCATGAAAGAAACCCTTCGTATAAGAAGGTAAGGCTGTCACAGGGGAGGGCTAGAAGGAGTGAAGATGGAAAGGTCTGGTCCCTAACACAGCCCATAGCTCACTACCTCAGACCCACAGATAACACAGGCATGCTCTCTTCTGGCTCACAGACTTCACAAGTTCACAAACACTCTATCACTGCAATGACCCAAGCAAAGAGTGTGCTTTTATTGCAAATGGCAAATACAGAGGTGTCTGCGTTTCAGTAGAGCAGCGCTCTGGGAGAAACCCTAACTCCTCTCTCCACCTGGGTGTTTGCCTCCACCTCTGGACATCTGTGGGTACCAAAACCAAAATGATGTTTTTTTTATTTCCCCTTGAATAAAGTCATGTTTCCAAGGCTCAGGTGGATGATCCTATAATCCAAATAAAGGAATAAAGAGCTTTACTAAGCTCTAAACTCCCTCTAAGGAAGTTACTCTCTTCCTCAGTAAGCTGGCTGAACTGTTCAGGCACATTTGTCTGGCTCCCTTTCTTATAAGTTCTCTGCCTCTCTCCACCTTCTGGTTTCTGGGTACTCTCTTATCTTCAGCTTCTGCATCTTGTCCCCTCAAGGACAAATGCCTAGACTCCCTGAAATCCTCCCAAAGCCATTATGATGCCAGGCATGAACTACTATGCCTAGTGAACTGCCAGGCCTAGTTCACAACTGCCAGGCCTAGTTCACAACTCTCTAGTGTGGGTATTGTCATCCTGGAGCCCCCAGTGAATAATCTAGACCCATGTATCTCAATCCTGGATGCACATTAGAATCACTTTGTAAACTGCAGATGCTCCAGCTCCACTCCTAGAGATTCTGCAGTTGGGTCCAGGACATGGTTTTTTGGTGGTTGTTGTTTTGCATATAAAGAGATTTCCCTTATTCTTATTTCCCTTCCATTTGCAATGGGAGCACACTCTTTGCTTGGGTTGGATTTTTGGTTAAGCCTCTCAAATGCTTGCAAGGTGCAGCTAGGATGGAGAACCACTAAAACACTAATTCAGGCCTTCTAAATTTGAGTTAACACCACCCACCCCTAGGGCATTCCATGGCAGTCACATTAAAGTCCTAACTGTGCAAACAATGAGAATTAGCACATTCTTACAAAATGAACCTGGCTTTGAGGGACAAATATAGATTCCTGGAAAAGCTGTCTATAAATTGAACCTGTACAAATGGAATCATTTTAAACACAGTTTTTACTGCCACACAGGCTCCCTGACACTTGAGTCATATGCACACATGTGAAACAAATTCTTTCAATGTATAAAATAATTGCTCACCTTTTTCTCTATATAACTTTGAATTTTGGTGTCCTGAGCTCTCTAAAAACCAGTGTGTCTCCATATTATATAAATATTGTATGTAATGGTTTTTGTAGAGTACAGCATGTTTATACTAAATTGTAACAGCTTATCCTCATTGTAACCCTATTTAATAGGTAGGAAGTACACTGGTCCTGAAAAATCATCTGCTAATTCTTGAGAAGCAAATTTAATTCCTTGTGAGCCAGGTGAGGGGCCTGGCCTATTTGACTTTTATTCTCTTCCTTGTTTCCCTTATCCCCCAGGATAGGGAAGCCAGAGGAGTGTGCAGGCATTGTGTCTTTCATGTGCTCTGAAGATGCCAGCTACATCACTGGGGAGACAGTGGTGGTGGGTGGAGGAACCCCATCCCGGCTCTGAGGAGCTGAATGAAGACAGTCCACAGGGCAGACAAAGGTGGGCTTCAGCTCTTGGGTGCTGTTCCAGCATTCATCCCCGGGCCTTTCCCACCTCTCCCCATCACACTGCTCACCTCACAAAATCAGTCTGCCCTGTAACAAGTTCCAGCCTTCCTGAGTCAAGGCTGGGTATTTGGAAGATTCCCACTGTTGCTGGGGCCTTGGATAAAGGCCTCCCCTGAGAACACAGGGTAGACTTGCTGAGAAGGCTGAACATACCCAGCTAAGACCAGCAAATATATATACTTTTTTTTTTCTGGGCCTCTGGAGAACTGGGAAGATTAGGAAAGAAGAAACCTGGCATGGAAGGAGCAGGGTTGGAAACTAACAACTTGCAAATGAAGTGCAAATAAAATGCAGATGATTCTACTGCTTTGAATCAATGTGTTCATTTCTCAGTGTGGGGTCTTTAGCTGAGCAGAGAGCAGAAGTCTGGGCAGGTTGAATCTCTGGATCCCCCCAGCCCTCCTCCCTGTCTCCAGGACGTAAATGTGATGCTCAGGGGTAGGGGTGAGGTGTCTGCAGAGCTGCCAGCTGGGAGGAGGTGGTACGGGAACTCCCAGGTGCTACTCTCAGCCTCACGTCCCCAGGGATAGTGCCAAGGACGCCACAGGGATCCCTGAGGCTGGACGAATTCTCCCCCAGATCCAGCCAGGTCCTCTCTGGCATCGCACTCGGTCCAGAGTCACCTCTCAGGTCAGCAAGGACAAGCTGGACGGTACCGAGCCGACTGGGGGAAAGGGAGGGGCCCTTCAAGGATAACTTAAGGAGGGGTTCCCAGGCCCACAAACAAAAGAAATGGGTTCTGCCGACGGTGCCTGAGGACTGAGTGACACGAAAAGTAGCCCCCAGCCCCGGAGACTGCCCAAACAGCAGGCCACGCGGACTTCGCCGCTCACCCAGGAGCCAACGGGAGGGGTCTGCGCGAACGCGCGGGGGGTCTCACGCGGCTCGGCCGCCCGGCGCGCATGCTCAGTCCGGCACCTCTCCGGGCGGGGCGGGAGACCCGGCGCTCTG